GAGCCCGGATAGCTCAGTCGGTAGAGCATCAGACTTTTAATCTGAGGGTCCAGGGTTCAAGTCCCTGTTCGGGCGAAACTATTTTTCGTACACACCTTTCTTTTCCCAACTTCTACAGAGTGCTTTTGACTGTTTGTTTTCCTTAAAGTGTGTAAGAAAGCAATCCTAGGCAAGAAAATATAGGCAGAAAAAGAAAGCCTACAACTCCCAGCATGCCCCAGCCGTCGTGTCTCCTTTACCCCCCCCATCTGAACATGTGCATGCCTGCCGTGGTAACTTGGGGATGTCGGGAATTGTAGGACTTTTCCTTTGCCTAGGCAAGTACAGGATGCTGCGGGAGGAAAAGCTCAGCGGAGGATCAAAAGGTTGGACTGAGTACTACAGCTACTATGCTACCCGCAGAGGGAATAAAAATTGAATAAAAGAAAATAAACTCCCCTAAAATAGTGTCTGGATTCACATTTTCCTCTCCCCCGCTAGACTTCTGCGCAAAAGGTTTTGTTTAGCAGAGGATGGTTTCGATCCATCGACCTCTGGGTTATGGGCCCAGCACGCTTCCGCTGCGCCACTCTGCTGTACGACTAAAAGTGCTGCATTGCAGTCTTAAGTAGATAATTCTGAGTATTGCTTGACTAACAGTGATTCTTAGCTCTTGACTTCGGGGAGGAACAGCCTCTGTCCCAATATTGTATTCACCATTGTCCCTCACCACCCCAGACCTCTGCTTTTTGTACCATCTAACCTGAAGATTTCGGAAAGGTTTTCGTAGCATCTTGCTTGCTCCTTTAAAAAGATACCATGCAACAGTCTGTTTTGGATTTCGTTTGTCCTCGTGGGGCAGTATGAGTCTCTTCCCCTCCACCCAAAACTAGAAGCTTGTCCTGCTTGGGGGAAGAGTAAGGATTTAGACATTTCCTCTCCCTCCCACCCCACACACGCCTGATGAAGACTGTAATTTACCCTGTGCAGGGCACCCAAAATACGGTCCTGGAATAACGGGTTGTATCCAAGTCTAACCATTTCTCTGGGCCTAACATTCCAGTTTTAGTTAGTAAAACTAGCATCAGATACAATCCATGGCTTTGTTCAGAAGCGTCTGGTTAAGACAGTCAGCAACACTGTCTAACTTCTCATTCCACCTTGCAAAGATCCAGATGTTTTGAGCAGCAGTAATTTGCCCCGATTCCACTCCTGACTCTCCTGCCCCAGTGCAGCTAACTAATAAATCCAGAAACACCTTTCCAGGTACTAAGATCATTGTGTGGTTGGCAGCAGATAGAAAGCAATCCAAAGTGCACACACAAAACAGAGTTTATATTCCAGCCAGCACAGATTTTCACATGCGTCACTGAACAGACTCTTGATATTCGCTGAAGGTAGGAGACACATAGAAATCTAGCCTCAGTATGCTCCTGGATCAATGAATGGTTCACACATGCACACAGCATGTGCAAAGGAAATTCAGTACGGTCCTTCAGATGCAATGCTGGATTCACACACCACTGGGCAAAGTTCAGACAGGAAAAAAAAGGCCAGCAGCTTGAGCTGTGCCCAGCCAGGCAGCGCAGAAATACAGAAACTGAATTTTAAATTGGGTGAGTTTTGCTGTTGACCCAGCCGCTCACAACTGAGGTTGGTGAGTTCTACCTGTGTGCATGGTAAGTTGTCAAGTGCAGTCCACCCTGCAGAGGACTGGGTTTCAAAGTGCTTCTCAGAGCACTAGAAGAGATGAAAAAACCTGATCAGCATGAAGGGAGAAGCATTGATTCTTCGTTTCTTCACTGGTTCTGGATGCCCTTCTGTAACAGAAACCCCAATATTCTCCATCAGAAACTATCTCAGTTCTCATGAGATTTTCCCATTTCCGCTCAAAAGCCCTCTTCAGCCATAATCCCCCAAACAGCTGAGTATTCTTCTCCTCTTCCCTCTTCATTCCTTCTTCCTTGTGTGCTGTGCCTTTTTTGATTGTAAATGTGTGACTGCACGGAACTGATTGCACAGGAGTTTCTTTGGCTGAGGAAAAGGATAACAATACCACTGATAAATAAACAGCGCAAAAGCTGGGCCTGGCAGGTTGCTATTTTACACGGCTTTGCACACTCAACCCACTTTGCAGACTCACCAGACACACTTCTGATCAGGAATACGTAACATAAAAATGGTGGTTCTGCATATATTTGCTGCCATCTCTGAATGGCAACAGTTCTCCGTAACTCCTATGACAAGACTTAACACAAGGAAAAAACATTCTGAGTTGCCAAAAAAACACCTAGGGTTAGAAAAACGAGGTGTCCTGGCATGATTTTGATGGTTGGACTGTGCTTACAATGGGTAGAAATATTGAGATGTGCAGAAAAAGCTGCTCAAGGAAGACTTTTTCAAAATCACCTTCTTTTCAATGGAACTGTAGCCCTATATTAGGGTTAGGGGTGTGCACCAGGGTAGGGTTAGGGTTAGAAAAGCGAGGTATCCTGGCATGATTTTGATGGTTGGAATGTGTCTAGAATGGGCAGAAATGATGAGCTGTGCAGAAAAATATACTCAAGGAAGGCTTTTTCAAAATCCTTCTCATTTGAATGGAACTTTCACCCTATATTAGGGTTAGGGGTGTGCACCAGGATAGGGTCAGGGCAGTGGTGGTGAACCTATGGCACACATGCCATAGCAGGCACACCGAGCCCTCTGTCGGCACACGAGCCAAGTCACCCCAGCATCGCCCCAGCAGCCGAGCACCGGATAACAGCACACATAGGGGCCATGCGCATGCTCGGAAAGAAGTAACGGCGCCAGGCGATGACGTCACAAGCCACGACTCGTCCAAGCTTTCACATGGCCAGTCAGTGCACTCCCAAGGAGATTATATATATATGCGCATGCTTGGACTGGCTGTGAGTTGCTTTTTCTAAACTAAAACCTCAGTTTTCAGGTTTTATTGCAATGTTGGCACTGTGCGATAATTAAGTGGTTTTGGGGTTGCAGTTTGGGCTCTCAGTCTCTAAAAGGTTCACCATCTCTGCCTTAGGGTATAATCCTATGTTTAGGCCGAAGAAAACTCTACAGCCCCCAGAATCCCTCAAGCCAACCATGCTGGCTGGGGCATGCTGGGAGTTGGGAGGCTTTTTCCTGGCTCAAAAGGAATAGTTACACCAGTAAAATTCAAAGCGTGGTAGCATGTGTTAGGAATCACTGCTTCTTTACATGATTGCAACCTCCCATTTCTCTCACCTGCTAAATATGAAATATTTAATACAAGTCTTGAGTTAGAGCTCTGGAAGTGACTAAGCACCTTACTAACATCAGATGTGTGCTCCCTCAGTTGACTTCTCCATTCATCCATGCTGTAATACATTTTTACATGGAGATCCACAAAAGTTTGCTCAAAATTCTGTCCTCCTCCGGAAGTAAACAGCAGAGATCTGGATTCCACAAATCTGGATGCCCAGATTTAGGAGAACTGATGTTGTAACAGCTTTCACCTACAGGGCACCTCTCAGACCAGACTACCTTTAAAGAAAGAGCAGGAGTGTGTAGCTATCTGTCATAGCTACAGATTTTTAGCATTACCTTGTACATGAAAGTTAAGAAGTGACTGCAGGTTCCTCACAAGAGGAAAAGGCAGAATAGAAATCAACATTATAATTTCACCACATTTTTCAATATTGCACATCATTTTATGGGGGGAGGTAAAATTTATTTATTTTTAATTTCTATACCGTCCAATAGCCAAAGTCCTCTAGGCAGTTCACAACATATTTAAAAACAATGTAAAATATACCAATTAAAACCTCATAAAAAGTTGGCAATACAAAGTTTAAAACCAAATTTAAAAAAACAAAAATTACATATTTAAAAGACCCTGCCTAGCAAGCAGCTGGCCCCAGTAACTAATTAAATGCCCAGCAGTAGAAGGCAGTTTTTAAAAAAGGGAGTAAAGTTGGCACCAAGCAGGCACAGTGGGGAAGCTCGTTCCATAATGAGGTACGGCTGAACTGGCTTACTTTCAGGGATTTCAGGTTTTCAGTTCACTGGCTTGTGACAACACAAAGTCACCACCCAGACCTCCCAAAGCATACTTCAAAACATCTGGAGAACAATTCATATCAGCCTCATCAAACTGGCCGACAGTCTGGGACAGCCATGAATGGTCTCTGATTTTTTTGATGGGGGGACAAGGAATTGGAAAGGAGTATTATGGAAGAGGAAAAGCCTGGGCTACCTAAAACCCTATACAAGGACTCTACCCTGCAATATGTGGTCTCACTTTTAAATCCTCAACTCCAAAAGGGACCATTTGTAAGTCATGATTTTGTGGGTGCTTATTTCCTATCATCATCATCATCATCATCATCATCATCATCATCATCATCTCCTATTAAGATCATGGCTTCCAGTCCTATCGCTTCCTGGCATATAGACAGGGAAGAAATGGAGGTAGTGACAGATTTTATTTTCTGCTGTCTGCTCCAAGATCACCACAGACGGGGACTGCAGCCAAGAAATTAAAAGACGCTTGCTGCTGGGGAGGAGAGCTATGGCAAATCTAGAAAGCATACTAAAAAGCAGAGACATCACCCTGCCGAGAAAAGTTCATATAGTCAAGGATATGGTTTTCCCAGTTGCAATGTACGGCTGTGAAAGCTGGACCATAAGGAAGGCTGAGCACCGAAGGATTGAGGCCTTTGAATTGTGGTGCTGGAGGAGACTCCTGAGAGTCCCTTGGACCGCAAGGCGATCAAACCGGTAAGTCCTGGAGGAGATCAACCCTTGCTGCACTTTAGAAGGCCAGATACTAAAGATGAAACTCAAATACTTTGGCCACCTAATGAGAAGGAAGGACTCCCAGGAGAAGAGCCTAATGCTGGGAACAATTGGGAAAAGAAGAAGGGGATGGCAGAGAATGAGGTGGCTGGATGGAGTCACTGGGGCGGTGGGAGTGGGCTTGGGTGGACTCCAGGGAATGGTGGAGGACAGGAGAGCCTGGAGGAATGTTGTCCATGGAGTCATGATGGGTCAGGCATGACTTTGCGGCTAAACAAAAAAAAAATTCCTACCATGAACCACAGCTGTGAGAGGTCTCCAATGGATCTCTGAGCCTCTAAACACTCAATTACCACAGACACAGGATGGTCCTTAAAATAATGTATTTAGAAAAAGAAGAAATGCTTAAGAGTAAACGACCTCTCCCGCTCAAGAAGTCTCTCTCACTGATTCCTTGAGAGTCGCAAACTGCACCAAGCTGCGGCACTGCTCTTCCAGGACGCCCCGGAACACCTCGTAGCGGTGGTTGAGGTCTCTGCGCCTGTGGATGTGGTACTTGGTTCCCAGGGCCCCATGAGGAGAAGGCACCCCATAGAAAACCCGCTCGATGCGCGAGTGCACCAGCGCCATGGCGCACATGACACACGGCTCCCGGGTCAAGTACATATCATAGCCGGTGCAGATATAAGGGAGTCCGTCACTGGAGACAGAAGAGCTGCCCGGGCTGCCGTCTGGCTGAAGAAACGAGCAAGCAGGATAGTCTTTATAGCTGTATGCCCCACCACCTTGGCCATGGGCCACCAGGTCAATGCAGACCATGGCAGCGTGGAGCAGTGGGTTGGGCCCGTTTCTGCAGTCATGCCCTACGGCCAGAACCATCCCGCTGGCTGGGTCAACCACCACACCCCCGACCGGCCTCATGCCCTTCCGTGCTCCCCGTTTTGCAGCCTGGAGAGCCAGCTCCATGTGGCTCTGCATGGCAGCCTTCTGCAGGGGGGTGAAGAGAGAGCCACTGATCGCCTGGCTGATGTGTTTGTTCTCATGGAAGGAGACGGGCCAATGTCGAGCGGCTTCTTCGTACTGGGGGCGGGTCAAGGGCGGACGGGCCGGTACCCGAGTCAAGAAAGGCTCCCCCAAGCCACACAGGACGACACGGCCTTCGGGGAAGAGGTCAGCGAGGGACGGCACCTCATCCTGCTCATCTGTGGGGCTCGCCAAACACAGGAGCATCTCCAGTGGGTGTGAGCTGCCCAGGGCGGCACAAGCACGGACCCGCTTCAAGTGCGGGTGGTCGCCCAGAGGATAGACAGCAGAAACCTCCTTCACCAGGCGGCACGCTTCCTTCTTGTCCAGGATGGGGGCAGCGTAGACTGGCATTAAGGTGATCTCCTGGGATTCCCTCTCTGAAAGAACAGGCAGCACCTCCCAGGACTGGACACCTCTGGGCTCGTCCGTCTTTCGGCGTTTACAATCAGGCTCCATCAGGCTGGAGGCATCCTGGTCACACGTCTGGGAGTGAGAGAAGGGTAGGTCCTCAAACTGAAGGGTCCTAACATGAGCCTTTTCAAAGTTGCACTAGCGTCTTATTTCTTCTTTTGCTGTTGTTTGTGGGAAAATGCTGTGAATAAATTAAAGAGAGTATATATAAAGCATGTGATTGTTTGTTTTTTATTTATTTAAAACTTTTTAGACAGTTCCTTATCATGGTCTTGGGATGGTTTAACAATAAGACAAAAGAGAATAAAACACAACATCTTAACCAATCAACAATAAAACCCATATTAAAACAGTATGTCAACACACTGCAACCCCTGAAGTTTCCTTATTCTTTAACTGCAACAGGCTCATATCATGTATTAGAATTACAGAACATTTCTAACAGCAATAATTTAATCTTACTGTTTCCCAGATAATATTTAACCACTATTAATTGTATGCATATATCTTGACATATATTTAATATTAATATTTTTATATCTTGTGCAGAGACTAAAATTTAATACAGCCCCTCTCTGCAGGCTCTCAGTCCCATGGACTACATTATTTAATAAACAGAATGCATTTGCCAGCAAATTAATATGAGGGCTTGGAGTCTCTCACCTCCTCAGTTGGTTGATCATCGAGTTGCCAGGCAGACACACACACTTTTCAAAAACATGAGCATTCCGAGAGAACATCCCTGTCTAATGTGTGAAAACAGACATAGTAGTCATGGCATCCTGATTATTTTTAGAGTGGTAACTGAGCCGCCAGCCCTCCAACGTGCTGCTGAAAGATGTCATTATTCATCCTGCACTCTGCAGATGCTCAGCAACACGTTCTTTAGTTATTTCACACGAAGTGCAACGGAACTTTCCTCGTTCCGTTTCCCCCTGTGCAGATATTCACACGTGCTTAATGCACTTATTAATTTAATTATGAATTTTATTATTGGGCTGACTATCATCAGCATTAATGCTAGCCACGGTTTCCCATCTACCCTCCCCCCGCAAAAGCATTTCTGACTGCCTGATCCTCCCCACTCCAGTATTCCGCTGCAACACGTGTAAAGAGGCTCCGTCACATTGGCCCGCCGACACGCTGCTCGTCGGACCCTGCCGGGGAGCGCGACCTCCGCCAGCGCTGATTGGCTGAAGAAGTTCCACGGTCTTCTTGGAAAGGGAACTGATTGGCTTTCCTTCTTCCTCTGGCCGCGATTGGGCGAGAGGGAGGAAAGTGTCAGAGCGCTTCCATAAGCGCAACGAGAGGGAGCCTCCTAGAGCGGTCACTTGCTTCCTTCCCCAACATTCCAAGTCCCGGCGGGGGAGACAAGAAGGGGACTAGAGCAGCCGGAAGTCGGTTTCCCCATGCAGGAGAGGATGCGGAAGTGAGTTGGTTCCGGAGCTGGGACATGGAGTCCGGGCAGCAGCCGGTGTGGCGCGGCCTGGGGCTGCTCGGGAGAAGCGGCGGGGAGAGCCCGGCGTTAGGCCCTGCCGCGTGCGAGAGGCGGCTGCTGTGGGCTGCGTCCTTGCTGTGCGTCCTGCTGGATCTGCAGCTGCCAGGTAACCATGGGAACCGGGATCCCCACCCTCTCCCTCTTCGCCCGTAGCAACGGACGGTCCGCTGGCCCCGCCCCCTCGCCCCTCCAGGTCGCCCTCCGTCGCTCAGGACCGCCTTCTGCTTCAGGAGCCCCGTTTGGACGGCGCCCCCCAGGATGCGCCCCCTCGCAAAGTTTTTTTGGGGGAGCGCCTTCTGATTTGCCTTGCTGGGCCGACCACTTCCAATTTATAAAACTCCGCCCCTTCCCCATGCAGAGAGCCCTTTTCTCTGTCACTTTCCCCACTCAGCCTAAGTTTGTTTCTAGTCCTCAGTGTCCTTCTCCTGGGCGTGTGCTCTCCTTTTCTCCCTCAAATACTTTAGTGGTAACTTTGTCAAGGTGCATGTATTGAGAGCTCCCCATTGACTCAGCTGCCAGTGATTTCAGCTGAAGTGGCCTCTGCCCAGCAGGGAGGAAACTTGTGGTCCTCCAGTCGTTGCTGGAGCGTAACTGTCATCTGCCCTAGGAGGTGCAGACAATTGTAAAGATGAGAAAAGTTGCACTCCAACAACGACATGCTCCCAGTCCCTGCCTGCCTCTTCAAGCATGCATGAGGATCATACTTAACTGGGAGGAAGAAGATAAGAAGTTCTGTTGAATAACTCAGTTGAAAGCATCAGGATGATATATGCCTACTTTTAAGTAATGATTAAAGGTAGCCCTGACTCTTTCTTTTCTTTTTTTATGGGTAAGTGATTCATAAATGCAGTGACTAAACCTTGCTGTGCCAGGTTCCATAGCACATACCTGGGTTGGCAGAAAGCTGTGCTATCTAACCAAAACAAAATCATTGCTGGTGGACTGGCAGAAGTGAGTAAATTGCTGAAACCAGAAGAGAAGTACAAGGCCTGCAGCTTATTCAGACCATCCAAACTCCTTATGCCAGTCTCCCAATTTTCACCCCCCCCCCAAAAAAAATCCCATCCACAAGCTTCCAAGATGCCACCTTCTGAACCTAATAATTGAGCAGTGTTTTGAGGATTTCTGTCTTTTATATACCTTTCTTTCTGTTGTTCTTCCTGTCGATGAGGGCAAAAATCGGACATGAGATCTGTGTGCAGAACAGATGTTCTGCTGCTGAACCGTAGTCTCTCTTCTCTATCAGTCTTGCAAACTGTTTTATATCTCACAGGTTTGCTGGCTGCTGGGCAAGCAGAGATTGAAAACCACCTTGAAATGGGGCGGAAGCTGTTAGCGGCTGGGCAGCTGGCCGAAGCACTATCACACTACCACTCTGCCGTTGGTGAGTAATGCAGCCCATTGGGTTGAAGTCCCTGAGCAGACAGCACAGTCATGGAAACTGGTGGGGGGGGGCAGTGTCATATGAGCCAATACTGAGGAGAAACTGCCTGATTTGTTGTTCTTGTGATACTTCTCTGAAACAGCTGCAGCTACTTCAGAGAAATGCATATAAGTAGAGTTGGTAGAACTCGTCACTGTGACTGTTTTGATTGCAGTTAGCTGCTATATCGATGAGATTAATCAATTTTTTAAATTGTCTAACCAGCTAAAAAGTCACACATGCATCTTTTTTTTTAGTTTTGTAAAACAAAGGAAAGGAAAGAAATATTTCTAAATACTTCCTAAATAAGTCACAGGGGGAAATGGCTTTTGGGTGCTACAGCATATGTTGTACATCGACAAAAAAGTATAGTTTGCTTTCTTTGAGTTAATTGCTTTTACATAGACAAAGGTAATCAGTTAACTAAAACCTATCTGGTTAAATAGCTCAGATTTCTTACTGCTCTGAGTATTATAACTATTTTAGTCCTCCAAGAAGTCTTCTTGTAGTTCTCTTCTCCCTCCTGCTCATACTTTCCCAACAACCCTGCGAAAGAAGTCAGACAGAGGTAGTGATGGCACAAGGTCAAGCTGAGCAGGGATTCGAACTCAGGTCTCCAAAGTCCTAATCTTGCACCTGGTGTGGTAACCTGTAAGATTTGTAGCTGCTGCAGTTGCCATTAAGGTGGCCATAGTATAAATCGTGCCACTTGGCTATTTACCAGCATCAGAAAAGTGTATTTTCAAGGCAGGGAAGCTTTATGCAAAGATGGGGAGACCTGATGGTCCTTTCCCGCTGCTCATCTGTGGTACAGTTCTAACAGAGATGTAAAGTCCTGTAAGTTAGTACAACCTTCTTTAGGTTATTATCTTTTGGAATTCTAGCAGGCTGCAGGAGGAGAGGAATTGGTGAAGGCCCCTGCACAGCCCTTTCCTGATCTAGAAATAAAAGCCACTGTTCTGATTCATTTTGCTTTTCTGTTTTTTCCCAACCCTCTCAGAAAGTGATCCCAAAAACTACCTTACCTACTACAAACGGGCAACCATCTACTTGGCTATGGGCAAGTTCAAAGCAGCACTTCCGGACCTCTCAAAGGCGATTGAGCTCAAGCCGGATTTCCTGTCTGTAAGTCTTGCCTTCTTCCCTTTTTACCCCTGCGGTTCTCTCTGAAACAATCAGGCAGGGGGAAGGATGCAGGGGGAAGACCTGACTTTGGCCTCCTGACTTTTTTTGAGTGCTGACTAATTAGAAATTTGGGCGGATGTACATACAGAACTTGTGGGTGTTGTCATTCAGGATTATTAATGCATCTGTGGTCATTTTACATATTTTGTTTTTAGCGCTGTTCTATCTAGGATGGCTTGTAATGTGTTTAAACCATACAAAATGCACTTTTTAAGAACTGTGCAGCGGTCCTGGTGCCTCTTTCAGAAACGGAAGTGCCGTGTTTCCCCCACTTCTGCAGTCCCAGGGCAACTGGCTGTCATAGCAAGATTTTCTTGTGGCCATTGACTAGGGCCGGGCTAGTCTTCCCTTTGCTCTGGTGCCTTTCCCGGAGAGCAGACTACAGAAAAAGAGTTGTGTGGTGGGTTATTAGTGTGGGTCCCTCTTCTTCTGTATTACGAGTGTTGAACCTGAACGCCGGGGGCCGAATCCTGCCCTTCAGGAGGACCAAAAAGGCCTGTCCCTTTCCCCCAATCATCAGTGATTTGGCAGTTTCCCATTTGTTGTGCATTTGTTGCCATTCTAGAAGGCACTGAGCTCAGCTGTGCTGGTACCTTGACCTGGGGACCTCACCTCTCTCAACTTCACCCCGGAATGTGGCCTCTGAGCACATCCCCCATGTGGAATTTGGCCAGCAGGCCAAAAGAGTTTCTGCCCCCCCCCCCCCCCCCCGGTGCTACATAATAATCGACCGCGAATCCAATCCTTGCCAATCTACTGCGGGTCACTTAAAAAACCTAGCGGTGGGTCTGGATCCACCGTCCACTTGGCCCTGTCCTCAGAGGTCTCGCATCTTCCATCCTACAGGCCCGACTGCAACGAGGCAACATCCTCCTGAAGCAAGGCAACACGCAAGAGGCCAAGCAGGACTTTGAGGCTGTGGTGAGCGGCTTCTGGGAAGAGCCAGGAATGGGCTTCTCTGCGTGAACGATGGCCTGGGCCACACACACAAATCCATCTCCAGTCCGTCGGCAGGACTGTGCGCCTCCGCAGCGCCCATGTCCAAGATGAGTCCCCCCCACACGCATGCACGCACTCCAGCCATATATTTCAACCAGACAGGAACTTGGGGCTCTGGATCGTGGCAGAGGGACCATCTCCATTTTTAGATTCAGCTCTTAGCTATGCAAATACCAGTTGATTTTAGCTGCAGAATTTTTATCCTGTTCCTCAGCCAGGAATGCGACTGGAATGGCTTGTGTATAATTAGTAAAACAAGATTGTCCCTGCGCCCAGGCTTTCAAAACGGGAAAGCATGGCATACAAGAAAAGAGGAATGGGGAGGGAAGAGGAAAAATAAGTTTTTCAGCAGGTCTGATGGAATGGCCCTGTTTTCCCTTTCCTGTCTCCCTCAGTACAGCTGGAATGGCTGTGGGTGGTGATAACTGAAGAGCCTTGTGGAGGGGGTGGTTAAAAAAAACCATGAACGCTGACCAAAAATGGTGGGGGGTGGGTGCAGTCCACTTATTCAGTCCTGAATGTAGAGAATGGACATACAGTGGATTGAGTATCTATTAAACTGAGCTGTTCCGGAAGCGGCCTGTTATAACGGCCATTTCTACTTATGCATTGGCCCCAACCTTTTGTCCCTTCACCTATTTGAGTGTTCACCAGACCTGCTCAAGCTTAGAATTGTCTTTAATATAAGCAATGGCTTAAAACAAAACATTTTGTTCATGGCTGTTTTTTTTTTTTAATAATTGCATCAGCTCAAGAGCAATCCAGAAAACACAGAGGCCCAAAACCAACTCGCACGTGTCACCGAGTTAGAATTTTCCATGCACGAATCTCGAACTGCCTTTCAGGGGCAAAACTACGTGGGAGCAATTGGTTACCTGGATCGAGCAATTGAGGTATTATCTCTGATTCATCCTCTTATTCATCCAGCTGCCAGGGCATTGCACAAGGGCACTGGAATATCTGTCTTTGAATTCTTTAAGCATTCTGTCAAACTTGGGACTCTTTTTATCATTGGCTAGAGAAACGGGACTTCATATAGATTTAAATATGTTTCTAAGTTATCATAAATGGAAAAAAATGTGGGGGCTCATCCAGCAGGTCCGATGTTTCTGATGATTGATGTTGTTTTTAGTTTTTTTTTGTTTGTTTGAGTGTTATTTTGAATAAAACATAAAAAAATGAATTCTTTAAGCAGAGGAAGGGTTTTTTGAGTCTCGGGAGAGATCACTCTTTAGGTCTGAAGCACTTCTTGTGTCTTCCTTAATGTACCATAGAATGGAATAATCAACATGTGCTAGTTGCATTTGAAATAAAGGAGGCTGGAAAGATGCCCTTGATACAAGATTGCATGTGGCTGTTCTGAAGCAGGGCTGTCTACCTCCCTGGGTCAAAATGGGGAGTGTTACCTTTTGTCTCAGTCTGGGAAGCAGAGATGATAAGGGTTCTTACTGGCCCTACTTTCTTAACACCTTTCTGTTCTGAAATCATCCATGAAATGGAGGGAGAAAGCAGCAAAAGGTTTCATGGCTAAATAACAAACTACGGGAAGCAGCCTCAAGATACAGGACAGGGGGCAGAAGTAGCCTAAAGGCAATTCTTTTTTTTTTTCAGTGTAGCTGAAAAAACCAAGTTGCTGAGAAGATTTTACAATAACAGCAGTGGGATTTGCTGGGCCTCAGAGCCTAATTGCCTCCTTGCTTTGCCATAGATTTCTCCCTGGGACCCAGAAGCCAAGGAGCTGCGTTCCGAGTGCTACCTGTACCTGGGTGACTACAACAAGGCCATCCTGGACCTCAAACCCACCACCAAGCTACGCAATGACAACAGGGCTGCTTTCCTCAAGCTCAGCAAGCTCTATTACAGCCTGGGCGATCACGAGGAGTCCTTAAAGTGAGGGGCCTGTGTGTGAGAGAAGGCTTCGTTTTGTTTTGTTTTGTTTTGTTTTTTACCTGGAAACCTGGGCATAATTACATGGTGTCATTCCAGGGCAGTGATGCAGAGCCCTCCAGTTCCTCAACAGTCACACCCTCTTCCCTTGCCTGAATCCTTTTTGGAGGCTAATTATCGGATGTCCTCCAAGGTTTTTCCTTTCTGTTTTGCAGTATTTCTTTCCATTATCAGAGATTGGAATGTCTTTCCCAAGGCTCAGCTGACAGCACCAAAAGCCTTAAGCTAAAATATGCTGGTCTTTGAGGTTATCTTTGGGACTGTTTGGGTTGTTTTGGGTTTTGTTGTTGTTTTGTGCCTTTGCCCCTGCCTTTTGCCTTCACTAGCCACTCACATGATCTCCAGTCCCCCGAAAAAAAAGTTTGTCCAAACTGGAGTGCTGCCCCAGCTCTGAAAGAGAGTTTGTGTCCTTTCTAAGACTTTAGCTGGGAGGATCACTCCATGGGTGTTGAGCTTTGCTCCTCCTCTGAATTTTGCTTCTCCACCCCTCCACAATACCCCTTGTAAATGGGGCATTAAAATGCACACGTGTTTGGATGCAGTCAGGGAGGATGGACTGGTTCGTGTCTGGATGGGTGTCTGCTTGAGAAGGGCCTTGTGTGCAAGCTTGAAATCTAAAAGCAGAAAGACAGTCACCCACAATCAAGGGGGGGGCGGGGGGAACTTGATTGCATTGTACTTCCAGGCTGGAATCTGGTTCAGCCCACGAGCTTCCAGGGTGTCCCTGGCCGGTTTGCCGTATCTGCATCACTGCTCGGTCTGACCAATAGGTGCAGGGAATGGCACCTCTCTGGGGTCACTCCTGCCACAGCTCGATTCAATGCTTTTTCTCCGCAGCCAAGTGCGGGAGTGCCTGAAACTGGACCAAGATGACAAAGACTGCTTCTCACACTACAAGCAAGTGAAGAAGCTTGCCAAGCAGTTAGAATCAGCTGAGGAATTCGTCAAAGCTCAGAGGTGCTTAATTTCCCACGTTTCTTTGCTTGCGAGGGGCTGTGTTGGCAGTTTGCGCAGAGTACCCTCTGTGCAAAATAATTACATGGCGAGGTCGCTCCAGTGAATTCTACAGGACTTGTGAGCATGCAGGTTGCTTGCCCTTTCTGTGGGGAAGGACAAAGACCCATAAAAGACTCCAATGCTTTTCTCCTTTGCCGCTTCCACACAGCGATTCGGAGCTGGCCACAGGCCCTCCCTGGCCGAGGTAACCTACTTCAGAGGCTCTGTTAAGGACTCGGGCAGAAGGGTTCTGTCCAGGCCAGGATCCATATTAACCAGAGAGAGACAGAACGGAGCTTATGGCCTTCTGAGTGCAAAGCGCGTGTTCTGCAGTTGGGGCCACCGTGCCTTGGTAAAAGGTGGCCTCATCCAACTATAAAAGGGAGGCTTAATGACTTTCATGGAAGAGAAGTTCTTATCAGCAAGCTACAGAGTTTTCTAAGCAAGCGCCTGTCTCCTTACCTTGCCGTGATAAATTCTAGAAGGTGGATTTCCCTGATGTGTGAAGAACTTGGATGCTCAAGTTTGGCTCACTTGGTGTCCCTGAATTTCTAGGATTCTGCAAGGAAATGGATCTCCTTTCTCCCATGTGGCTCCAGTGGAGGGCATGTGGTTGGAGCGTGCTGCAGCTTCACAGCCTTGGGACCATAAGACCTGAAAGTCGGGCACCCGGAGGGTGTACCCCCCAGAGATACCTGGTTTTCACAAGGCATTAATCACTGTAAATGTCTCTGTGGGTTTGAAGTCTGCCAAACCATGCCTGCAAAAATCTGGAGTTTGGGGACAAAGCCGGTAGTCTTGTGCATCATTTCCACCCTGCTTTGGAAGCACCCCACTCCCAGGGAAAAGGGGTGGACAGATTCCTCGGCAAGCTGTGGGGTGAACCATGGCAAAGGCCCTTCTCTGGGGGTCCATTGGCCATTGCTTTATTCAGGCAGGACTTTGTTGGAAAGCTTTGCCACACATCAATTTAAGAACGATTCCAAATTCTGCAAAGCCAGAACCATTCTCTAGAGGGAAAAAGGTGATATATGAAAGTAATGTAATAAGTAACGTTTCGTCATCCTTTGGAGATAAGGTCTTTCTGTGAGAATGCAGTAATGTTGAAATCTGGGTCCAATAACAACTTTACTGAGAAGATTTCCAACAAATGGTGGATGGCTTACAGTAGTTTATAACCGTGTTCTTACACATGGATTATATCCCTTTTCAGCGCATGGGTAGTTTATCACAAAAAAATTGCTTTCTTTTACGACTTAGAGAACATAATTAGGCTGTATTCTACTTGCTTTGTTCATGTGGGCATTACAGGGCATCACAGTTAGCCAAGCACTGTTTTCTTCCAAATGTTGTTTTCTGTGTTCTTGCCCGGTAACAGGTATGACGACGCCATTGAGAAATACAAAGCAGCTATGAAGACAGAGCCCACTGTGGAGATATATTCCACAAAAGCAAAAGGACGCATCTGTCACTGTTTGTCCAAGGTGAGGCAGGACCCTCCAGCCTAGTTGGGGAGATGAGTGGAACTGAAATTAGACTTTATATATTAAAAATTGTCTCTGGTAAGTTGAATGTCTAGCTTAATGATCCTCAAAATGAACACAGAACTCATGAAGGCTAGTTTAATAATGTCGGCATTTCAGAGTTTCAGCGCGTTTTTGCAGCCTTAGCCTTAGAGATAAAGAAAAAGGCTTCATTTGGAATCAGCTTTATCTCTGCTGGGTTTCCTGTTCTGCCCATCCTTGGCCATATTATCCAACCTGTTTGGGCTTTCAGTTTCCTCCCTACTCGTTGCCTAGTCTGAATGGACAAGGTCGAACAATGGTACAGAATGTGGAGAGGGAGGGAGCTGCTTCCTGGGAAAGAGCACTGCAGGCGAAACAGCTTTTCAACCTTTCCCGCTACAGAACAAGCAGCCCCAAGAAGCCATTGACATCTGCACAGAAGCGCACCAGCTCGATCCCAGGAATGTCTTCATCCTTCGTGACCGGGCTGAAGCCTACATCCTGAACGAGGAGTTTGACAAGGGTGAGATGGCAGGAAACGGGTGGGGGAGGGAAGGAGGGAGAGTAAGATCCATCCCAGCCAACCTTCTGCTCTCCTCAGTGGCCGCGGGCAGCCTGCAGGCAGGAGGAGAAAGGGAGCGCTCTTTTCCACCGCTGCATTCCAGCAGGTGGCTTTTTGGCGATGTGTCGCTCCTGAAGGGGGCGTTTCTGTCAGCTGCCTCACTGGCTGGTGCTGCGAGGCAAGAAAGATCCGGGGCTGCTGCTCCCCTCCTCCAAATGCTTCCATGGGTGAAAACCAGATTGGCTTGGCTGGATTGTTCACTCGTGCATCATCAGGGTGAGCAAAGGAGGTCGTAGAATCACAGAGGGGGCCACGAAGGCCACCAGCTCCAGCCCCCTGCTGTTGCAGGTCACCAGTTTGCACCATCCCACTCAGAGGACTGTCCAGACGCTTCAGCCAGGGAGAGCTTGCAACTTCCCCAGGGAATCGGTTCCATCACGTTAGGGTTCTCTTGCAGACATGAGAACTTCTAGAGAAAATTGCTCCAATCTAGCAGTTTCTTACAAGCACGGAAGGTCCTCTTTCACACTGGAAAAATGCAAGGGGGTGGCCTGAATATATCCAGGTTTTTTATTTGATGACCATACAGGCTAGAAACTAGGCAGCACTGTTCTGCTTTCTTTGCCTCATCAAAAAGCAAGAACCGGTGGTCTCTGACTTCTGTTCCGCTGGATTCCACATGCAAAGAGCTGCCAACCCTGGCTCTAGAAACTGTGGAAAAGGTTGCAAACTTTGAAAGGATATGAGTTTTTGTGTGTGAGAGAGAGAGATTCCTTAGTTAAATCCAACCATGTCTTGTCTTGTAGCCGTTGAAGACTATCAAGAAGCCAAAGAGTTCGATGGTGAAAACGAGGAATTAAAAGAAGGGCTGGAGAGGGCACAGAAGCTCCTGAAGCAGTCCAAGAAGCGAGACTATTACAAAATCCTCGGGATCCGGAGGTAGGCTGCACTTTCTTCTTTCACTTTTTATAGTCTAGAGGGGAGAGAGGGAGGGAGCCAGCAAGGCATGTGCTCCAAAAGCTGAACCTCTGGCTTAAGCCACCTCAAGCAGCAGGGCTGGGAAAGAGGCCCCGGCGATGATTCAGGAGAGCTTCCCCTCAGCAGGGCTTAGCAGCGATGCCCCGTCTGGCCTGACTCCACGAGCCACATGCCTTCAGAGGCGATCGTCTCACAAGCTGAGCTGCAGAATCTTTCCTCTGCTGCCAGGTCTCCTAGATGCATCCTAGCATGCAGGACCCCACCCTCTCTAACAGGGGGGTCAAAGCTACCTATCAGCCTAACGTGAGTAATTCCTGAGAGGCACGTGCTCAACAGACAGTAAATAGGCATTGTTCTGGACCCCATCTGGGCAAAACGAGAAACCTCTTCAAGTCAGGTTCTTGAAGTGTGTGTCCTGTGCCTTCCACCCTTCTTGTCTGCATGCGCACAGACAAGAGTGACCCCAAAAGCAAGGCAGCAGGAAAGCCCACATCAAGCTCAGTCACCAGGAACACCATAAAATGACAGTTCGGACCAGGTAATCACAATCCGTCGTCTGAGCATTCGAGGAGGTGACCAGATCCAGGGCAGTGAACTCTGGGACACTGCTGGGATTCCTCTCCGTCCCCCACTTGTTGCCTAAGGGAGGGATGTGGAACCGGGCCTTTCATGTTGACCGCAGAGTCCGGGCTGGCTCAGGCCGGAAGAGAGACTCTTGCAGGTTGTCCTGAGCCCAAATTAGAAAGAGCTTGGAAGGGAAGAAGAAGGGCAGCCCCTTGACCCGGGTCCCTAACAGAACGTGTGCCTTTGAGACCATTTGGTGGCTCAGACGACTGGGCCCCCACCACTCCTCGCTGCTGGGACGTTTTCAGGAGCAGCTGCCTATGCAGGGCCTTGCTTAATCTTGCCTGGATCTTCCCCATGAAGGGCTGCCGTGGGCACATCGGATGAGAGCAGGCAAGAGGGCTCTAGACCTCGTCTGAGCCCTTTCGGTTGCCACGATGAACGCAGGCGCATGCTCACGTCCATCCTGCTGCTTTTGCTGGGGCTGGAGACGGCCTTCAAGCTTGCCCACAGCTGGCCTTGTCATCCCGTTGGTCTTCTGTTTAAACCAAACGACAAAGACACAACAAGTACCCGGACCCTTACAAGGGTGTCACCCTGGCTGGGTTCAGAAAAGTTTGGTGCATGGATTTGGATGGATAAGTTGAAAAAAGGTTATTGGTGACATGGTATCAGATAAAAAGATGCATTATGCAGGTCTACTTAGCTTGATACGGGAATATGCAGGCTTTGGAATTTCACTGGTGGCTTTGATAGGTGTGATGAAGATTTCTGTAAGTTCATATATGCTGATGCCCAACTTGACTGGCCAGAAAAAAGAAAATGGCTTTAGCTAGCTCCATTGGGTTTTTTGGAGCTGGACGCAAAGCATGGTTTGGTTACTGAGTCTGAGCTGCTTTCTCACTCAACCTTGTTTTTCTCTTTCATTGACAAGTTCTGGAAGAAATTCTGTCTGTGTCTCTTTTCCCCCACCCCAAAACTCCTTCCTAGGAATGCAAACAAGCAGGAGATCATCAAGGCCTACCGGAAGCTGGCTCAGCAGTGGCACCCCGACAATTTCCAGTCCGAAGATGAGAAGAAAGAAGCTGAGAAGAAGTTCATTGATATTGCTGCAGCAAAGGAAGTCCTAACAGATCCAGGTAAGGGCCACACAACTAAGTTTGCTCTAAGCCAGCCGTCCCTCTCTCCTGTCCTCCAGATTTGTTGGAGTACAACTCCCAGCACACCTGGAGGGCACCATCTTGCAGGGAGTTGTAATTAATTTGCCTTCAAGTGTATAAAGCTACAGATTTGGTACACATTCTTCTGTTTTGGTCACACCCCTTCTGGCATCGTCATACCCATGAAATGGACTTTTTCTTCCCCCAGTGAAAGCTCTGTTGCTCAGGAAGGCCAGATCAGTCGGCCCCTGAGCCCAAGCAAAACATATTCATGGAACTGCTAAAAGGGAAATCATCATCGGATGCTGTCACAACCGCCAACATTCCCCTTGCCAGTAGCGGCAATTTCGGCTATCCTGAGGCAGAGGAGTACTGTGGAAGCACAAGGGGTTTATTTATTTTATTTATTTTTATTTATTTAAAATGTTTTTACCTCCTTCCCAATGAAATGTCCCAGGACAGCTTACAATAATTAAAAACAGTAATAATATAATTGCAATCATCAATAATAGTATAGTAATTAAAACAGTAACAAGCAATAAATAAATCACATTTGTAATTCAGAAAAAAGAAAAGAAAATGCGACTGTAATCTTAAAACATCTAAAATCCTTCTTAAAATGATGGTTAAATAAAAAGGTTTTTACCTGGCGCCGGAAAGAATATAAAGTCGGCGCCAGGTGAACCTCTGAGGAATTGATTAGAGAGGAGATCCAGAGATCAGCTGGAGCAAAAATGTTTGCATCTAATCTCCTTATTTATTTTATCCCACCTTCTTTTCTGTGACAAATCCGAGGCAGCTTACATACCCTGCTCTCCGTTTAATCCTCACATCAGCAATGTGAGGTACGTTACGCTGAGAGTCGGTGCCTGGCCCAGCCTCACTCTGCAAGCTTCACGCCCAAGTAGGAACTAGAATCCAGACCTCCCGAGTCCCAGCCCATCACTGTGCAGCATTTCCCCCAAGTTGCTCAAGACAATGCCCAGCGGCGCTTATCCCTCAACAGTGCTGGGAAGCAGGCTCTGCTGAAGGTGGGTGGCTGGCACAGGTCCACATTTTTGGCTGCATGGGCATTCAGCCCGGGGTCTCCCTGGTCCCATAGCAACTCTCTGACCACCACATAAATTCTCACCTGCCAAAACGGTGCCTTTTGTGCACTTGTTGTTGTTGTTGTTAGTCGCGAAGTCGTGTCCGACCCATCGTGACCCCATGGACAACATTCCTCCAGGCCTTCCTGTCCTCCACCATCCCCGGGAGTCCACTCAAGCTCACACCCACTGCTTCAGTGACTCCATCTAGCCACCTCATCCTCTGCCGCCCCCTTCTTCTTTTGCCATCTATTGTTCCCAGCATCAGGGTCTTCTCCAGGGAGTCCTTCCTTCTCATTAGGTGGCCAAAGTATTTGAGTTTCATCTTCAGTATCTGGCCTTCTAAAGAGCAGTCAGGGTTGATCTCCTCTAGGACTGACTGGTTTGATCATTTTGCAGTCCAAGGGACTTGCAGGAGTCTCCTCCAGCACCACTATTCAAAGGCCTCAATCCTTCGGCGCTCAGCCTTCCTTATGGTCCAGC